AGAAAAAGAAATCCTCTAGCAGTGACGAAATGGGTGAATTAACTAAACGGTTTAATAAGTTGCAGATCAACTTAATGTAACAAGTTGAAGGGTTAACCAAAAAAATTGGATATCAGAATCAGAGACGAACTAATAATTCCCGTGAATACTTCAGAAATAATAATTTTAACAATGACAATAATAACAGTAACAATAATAATTACAATAACAACAGTGGTTCACGCAGATGTTATAATTGTAACGAGGTTGAACATTTTGCTCGTGACTGTCTAGTTGAAAAGAAAACATATCTCCAAAATCAAAATAGACGAAATGTCAATTATGTTAAATATGACAATGACAGTGACGATGAATGTGAAGTCTATGAAGCTATACAAAACAAACCTAATAACCGAACTACCCCTCTACGCAAACCAGGAAGACCAAAGAATCCTGTACTCCAAAAAGCTATGCCCGTTATCAATAATCAACAGCCTGAGATCTTGGTTGATTTTGAACAAGACCCTTATGGGCTGAACCTATGCAGGAAGACTTATCAAAAATAACATTAAAAACAAAATGTGAAAAGAAGCCTAGAATGAAATGACAACCGTCAGTTGTCGATCAATTGACTCCATACGATATTTCGCAGGACATCTTTCATATGCAGTCTAGCGCTAAAATAGGACAATTGTTGAAATACTCTGACTAAAAAATGAACTTAACAAAAATTCTCAAACGACCTACACAACAAAAGGAGAACAATCACGTGGAAACTAATGAAGTTAGCATCAGGAAATTTTTAAAGGCGAAATATTTCAAAAATTTTTGCCTCGTTAAATTTTCGGAGTTATACGACACCTTCGTAAATTTTTGAAAAAATTTTTGAAAATTTTCAAACCGTAAATCTCCGGAATTTTTTGTTTTATTTATTTTCGAAAATTTTTGCATATATTTTCATAAATCTCCATTTATTTTTGAAAATTTTTGCATATATTTTCATAAATCTCTATTTATTTTCGTAGATATTCGCAAAATCATTATAATGGTATATTCAAGATTTACATATAAAACATT